TTTGACAGTATACCTTGATTAATAACAGTTGGTACTGCCACTGTCATTCTTTCTTTCTGTGTTGCTTCCTATTAGATACTATCATTTTCTAATAACGACCAATTATTATTATACCTTTGTATCATGAATTGGTTTTATTATATCCTGTACCTCCTCCAGTTGCAGTTGTTCCTATTAATTATAATTTTACACTGAAAGCACAACATAGATCTCTACCTTTTGTTTCTTCCATATTGTGCAGTATCCAACAGTAAGCTTCATTAGACCATTCTTCATTAATAATTCAAGATTCTCATTCAATTTCATAATGAGAGCACCAGTGAGAGAGTGAGGGAAGGAGCAAGTGACAATGATAGAGTTCCCTTTCTTGATGTACTTTATTTTCACTAGTTTACCAGACGTCTTGGAAATGATTTGCTTGATATCTTGTAGCATGTGCTCATCTGGTTCCCAGTCAAAAACATATGTAACTGTTTCACATTGAAGAGAAGGACTACCTCCTAATGCTTCAAACTTCTCATTTAAGCAAAGACTAATCTTTACTGTGCGACAAAACTCTTTTAATATGCCTTTGTATTCTGTGATCAATTTTTCAGCTTCTTTGATGTCAAATTCTTCAACCAATGATTGAAGCAGCCTGACGTTAATCAGTGAACACTCTTTCTCTACTGCTCGTAATATTTCAGTGATATTGGAACACAAAGACAGCTTTGGTTCAAGACTGCTCCTACAGCAACAAAGATATTCCCTTACATCATCTAATGGTGGTGGCTCCTTCTTTATTATTTTACGAATATTGTACAACATTCGACCATAAGATGTTTGTATTGAAGTGAATTCATCACTCATACATTGAGGAATGGCTATCTCAACTATAGAGTAATTATAATAAAGAACAGTTTTAAAACATTATATACCTGTTGGTACACGAGGAGGAGTGGATTCAGTGCTGGATGCATCAGTGCTCATGCTGTCATCATCACGAATCATAACTTTAATCAGCTTCTTGTCATCATTAAGGTATCTGTCTATATATACAAACACATACTATAGATCTACTTAATGTACCTGTAAACATCTTACCATAGTCTCTTTGTATAACTGCTCCGAGATTACCAGTGAACTTGCACAACACACTAGCAAATGTTTGTAGTAAACTATACTTGTTTTGAATAACTTCTCTCATGGCAGCTAACAGGACTTCACGTTGATTAGGAACAGAGGGGCTAGCTGATTCCACACTAGCCAATACTTGTCCTGTTATGACACCCTCTCTTTGAAGCATAATAGCTACACTGACAGGATCAGAGAGAGACTGAGAGAGGAGTGGATGATGAGTGTTGAATATCTCAATAGCCTTAGCTTTACGTTCTATAGAATATGATACACGACACATACAGAGTCAATCAGCGCAGACATTATCTTACTCTCTTGATCTAACTTGTCAGCTGCAGCATTCTCATTCATAGATTTAAGAGCATCTGACAGTGAGTCAAAGGTAGCTCCTCTTTTACTGTGAACATTATCAGCTTTGGACAACCACTTGGAGAGACACTCAGTAAAGCACCGAGATACATCTCCAGGATGATTCTTTTCAATGACGTCCAGTGTGTTTTTGTGTAGTCCCAGTGTCAGCCCCAACTCGTGCCACCTTGCTTGAGGGAAATGACAACTCTTCAACAAATTGAGAACATCAATTAGCTGAGCTAAAAATAAAACAACATCCAATTTCTATGATCTAAAATCCCTAATAATAATAATTATTATTACCAATAGTCAAAGGAGAACAGAAGAAAGAAGAAGGATACTCAGAAGGATAGCTGCTTTTAGCTGCCATTGTTGATTTTAGGTGGAGCTAAAACGAAAAGGTGGGACTGGTTGAGGAGTTTTAAAATGTCTACTTGTAGGATTATCAATTTTCGCCTGGCATCACTGTGTCCTGCAGGAACCATTTCTTCCATGAGATGCCTAAGAACTTTGAAACGTTACCACTATATCACTGCACTAAAACTGCAGGGAACTTTAATAAGATATTGTAGGCCTAGAGTGTTAATGATGGGTACTTCATGCTCTGCTGTGATTGGATCTATGCTGATATTGAATAATGACAGATCAGTACACTGCATTGAATCTAAGAGTAGCTCTATTGACAAACCAATCGTTATACCAGACGGAAGTTTTAATAGAATATTTGTCATATTTCGTTAGTAATATCTTGGTCTTCTCTTTTCGCCAATTCTACTGTGTCATATCATCGAGATCCTATTACCCCTGAGATTCATATCGTCTCTTAAATGGAGTCTACTATT